CACCCATGGTTGGCCATGAATGGGCTCATTCCCGTGGACACGTGTTCCGCGTTGTTGTACGCGAATTCAGCCAGCGCTAGTTTTTCTACCCAATCGTTCTGCCTCTCGCTGACATAGCAGCGTAGGTATTGCTGGAGTATACTGTTCGCTCTTTCTGCTTGCCCGTTGGTCTCTGGGTGTCTCGCCGTCGAGAAACCCACCTCCACCTGCAGTAAGCTCATGAGCTTCCTCCAGAACCGGGAAGTAAATTGTTTTCCGCGGTCGGAGATAACCCTCAAGGGGCGCCATGCAGCCGGAATATGTGCTCCACAAACAACCGGGCTGTTTCCTCTGCCGTTACAGCATGTGAGCAAGCTATAAAATGGCACATTTTTGTCAGTAGGTCGACCACTACCATGACTGCTGTCTTTCCCCGGGACTTGGGCAAATCTGTCATAAAATCAATGGATACCACCTCCCAGGGTTTCCCCGGCGTGGGTAAGGGTTCCAGCAATCCTGTGGGGGCAGCCCGCTCCCCCTTTGCCCTTTGGCAGCGGTCGCACCCCCGTACATATTCCCGTACATCCTCCCTCACCCTGGGCCACCAGAACTGCCTGGTCACAAGCATCATGGTTTTGTGCTGTCCAAAGTGCCCTGCTGTGGGGTTGTCGTGGAGTTGTTTGAGTACCTTTCCCCTCAGGGTCTCCCCCGGTACGTACAGCGCTCCCCTATAGTACAGTACCCCTTCCTTCTCCTCAAACCCTTCTTGGGTCCCTCTTCCGTCTCGTAGTTCCCGGATTTTAGTTTGCGCGAACACGTCGTTTCTGGTCAGCCCGGCTAGTTCTCGTTTCCCCACCAAAGTTCCCCACACACCCATCGGTCCTCGGGGATCACGTGTCGTTTCTCCGGCGGCCCCTCTCCTTCCAGGTACTCCGGTTTACGCGAGAGCGTCTGCTCTTACGTTTTCTTCTCCGGGCACGTAGCGGATTTCAAAGAAAAACTTGGAGAACTCCTGTGCCCATCGAATCTGTCTCTGGTTGAGTACTCGTGCGGTTCTCCAGTACTCCAAGTTCTTGTGATCTGTGCAAACCTGGATCTGTTGTTGCGCCCCTATCAGTAGATGGCGCCAACGACGAAAGGCCGCGTAGATTGCCAGCAGTTCGCGGTCATACACTGTATAGTTTTGCTCCGACTTGCTCAGTTTTCTCGAGAAAAAGGCACACGGTTTCCATTCCTGCTTTCCCTTCCCTGGCTGCAAAGGACCGCCCCTACGGCTCTGTCGGACGCGTCGGTCTCTAGCCTCAGGGGTTTCTCCAGATCTACGTGCAGGAGTTGCTCTTCCGATGCGAACGCCTTCTTCAGTTTTTCGAAGGATTGCTGGGCCTCTTCTGTCCACACAAACTTCTTTTTGCTACTGAGACAATCCGTGATGGGCGCTGTCAAGTGGGCGAAGTTCTTGATGAACTTCCTGTAGAAGTTGCTGAACCCTAGGAACCTCTGTACGTCCTTCCGTGTTTTGGGAGCCTTCCACTCCAGCACTGCCTGCACCTTGCTTGGGTCCATCGCTAAGCCTTTGTCAGACAACTTGTACCCCAGAAACTCGACTTCTCTGGCGTGAAACTGACATTTTTCCAGCTTGACCCACAACTGGTGCTTCTGCAGTCGTTGTAACACTTCCCTGACGTCTCTAACATGTTGTTCCTCATTGTCCGAATAAATTAAGACGTCGTCCAAGAAGGCTACGCAGTTCTTGTACAGCAGAGACCCCAACACGTGGTGCATGAAAGCTTGAAAACAGGCGGAGCCCGACTGTAATCCAAAAGGCATAACTAAGTACTCAAAGGCACCTAGGGGTGTGAACATTGTGGTCTTCCATTCGTCCCCCTCCCTCATCCTGATCAAATTGTATGCGCCCCTGAGGTCCAGCTTGGTAAAAATTTTGCCTTTCCTCACTCGCGTTAAAATGTCGTCAATCCTGGGCATTGGGAAGGTCACGGGTTCTGACACCAAATTGACAGCTCTATAGTCCACTACGAGCCTGGGTTTATTTGTGTCCTTTTTGTCCACAAAGAACACCGGACTGCCCCCTACTGCCTTTGATTCTCTTATGAAGCCTCTTTTCAGGTTCTTGTCGATAAATTCTCGCAACTCCTTCATCTCCCTGTCTGACATGGCGTACAGCTTACCCACTGGCAGCTGAGCCCCCGGAAGCAAGTTGATCTGGCAGTCAAAGGGCCTATGGGGTGGCAGTCTATCTGCCTCTTTCTCGCTGAAGACCTCCCGCAGATCTGCGTATTGTGGCGGCACCTCCCCTTTCCGCTCCACCGCCATCCCAGCCACCCTGGCCACGGTCATTCTTGGGGCTTCCCCCCCTAGACAGTGTTCCAGGCAGTAAGCTGACCCAAAGGTGACTGTCCTCTGATGCCACGCCACCACTGGATCATGTTGTGCTAGCCAGCTCATCCCTAATATTATTGGGGTCCTGCTAGCGAGGCGACGTGAAAGGCGATGGTCTCCGAGTGCCTGGACACCCTCATTCTCATTGGCGGGGTCTGGTGTGTCACTTCCCCTCCTAGAAGCTCCCTGCCATCAATGGTGGTCACTTGCAAGGGAAAATCCAAAGGCAGTAAGTGGAGCTGGTGCTCTAATGCAAAGTCCTTGCTGAAGAAATTACATGAGCTGCCTGAATCCAGCATGCCTTTCACCTTGACTGGGTGCCCGTTCGGGAGTTCTAGCACCACTTCGATGGCTATTGCCGCCTTGGGGGGGTCTGGTTGGGGCACTTTTACTGGTGGCTGGCTTGGCTGTTGTGCCCCTTGATTGGCAGCCAAGCGTTCCCGTTTCCCTGTTCCTGTTCCTTTACCACCTCCTCCTCACCCCCTGCGGTTCCCACCATTCCTTGCCAAGCCTTTCTTTGAGGGCAGGCTCTGGCAAAATGGCCTGGCCGCTGGCAAAGGTAACACTTCTTGGAGGTTTTCCAATCCTTTCCCTCCTTCTTGCGCCCTTCGCTGGTGCTTGAAACTTCCCGCGCGCGCGCCCCATCTATTTCCATTGGCTCTGCTGGCGGGGAGGGCTGCCTTGGTATTTCAGGAATGCGGTAGTCATGGCAACGTTGCTCTCTCCCTTCCCGCCTCTCCTGGGCCCGCGCTTCCTGGCGCACGCCAATCGCAAGCACAGCCTTGGTCAGCTGATCCATCCCCTGTGGGCGGGGTGCGCGGGAAAGTTCATCCTTAACCGTTGGGGACAACCCCTCCTCGAATAACATCTGTATGGGTTCGGAGCCCAGTTCCCACCCGAGGCGGTGAACTATCATGGCAAAGCGCGACCAGTAGTCCCTAACTGACTGGCTCCCCTGTTTACAGTTCATCAATTCCCGCTTTGTCACACTTTTTGAACATCAGTGGAAAACATCGCGTCCATCGCTTGGAAGAATTTCCTCAGGTCCTGCATGGCGGAATTCTGCGTCGCCATAAGGGGTCTGACCCATTCCCTGGCCCCGTCCTGCAGGTGACCCACAACATATGCCACCCGCGCCGCGTCGTCTTCAAAATCGTTATGCTGCAATTCCAATGCGTACTCTATTTCCGTTCTAAACGCACTGTATTCTTGCGGCTTCCCCCCAAACTTGTGCACCAGTCCCGGTACCTTCCTTGCTATGGGGGTGGGTCTGACCTGTGCATCTTGAGACCGCCTTTCGTCCAGCCGTGCCGTCAGAATGGCCACATGCTGCTCCAAATCTCGGTTCCTCTCCTCCAGCGTTTGCCCTCCAGCTGCTCCCCCTTGGGTGCCTGCTTCTCCAGGCTTGCTCATGATGCTGCCTGCCTGCTGCTGCGCACGAGCAACTTTTCAGGGACTGACGGATTGCTGTAATGAGTATGAGTTACTCGTGCGTAAACTGGTGCCTCTCTAGGCTAATTTGCCTTGTTAAACCTTTCTGACTGCACAGCCCTTTCTCATCATGACTGTCTCAGTCACTAGCAGAATCCGTCAGTGGGCGTTTCTTGAATCTCTTCCAACATAAGAGTTGTTTGACACCCAATCTCCTCCGCCTCTCACTGCGCGGGAGCCTTCTGCGCAGGGTGGGCGTGGGTAGCGGGGGACCTGTCCCCTCCTCACTGAGTTCCAGTGAAGAGTCCGTGAGCCCTCTCTCCGATTTCCCCATCTGCTCACTTTTGTTCCTGGTGTTGCGCTTAAATGCTTCCCCCTCCACTGAGTTGCCTCTCCCCCTGCTGCTGGGTCCTTCTCCAGCATCATCCAGGAGCCTCCCCTTCGCCTCCGGCTCTGATGTCAGTTCCCTGACACCCGGGGTCACAATTTCAGAAAAAATCTGACTTTTGGCAATTCACTCAAAAATGGTGCCAAACGGTTGCAAATGCTTCCCTGAAAGGTTTGGCGGACGAAGCAGAAGGTTTTTTTATCACAGGACAAAAAATCAGCCCACGACAACTTAACCGGAGGAAAAACATTTATTTGAAAAAATCCCTAATCTCCGGGGTCACAATTTCAGTAAAAATCTGACTTTTGGCAATTCACTCAAAAATGGTACCAAACGGTTGCAAATGCTGCTGTGAAAGGTTTGGCGGACGAAGCAGAAGGCTGTTTATCACAGGACAAGAAATCAGCCCTCGACAACTTAACCGGCGGAAAAAGATGTTTTTGAAAAAATCCCAAATCCCCGGGGTCACAATTTCAGAAATAATCTGACTTTCGGCAATTCAATCAAAAATGGTGCCAAACGGTTGCAAATGCTCCCCTGAAAGGTTTGGCGGTCGAAACAGAAGGTTTTTCATCACAGGACAAAATTTCAGCCCTCCACAACTTAACCAGCGGAAAAAGAGTTTTTCAAAAAAATCCCTAAGCCCCGGGGTCACAATTTCAGTAAAAATATGACTTTTGGCAGTTCACTCAAAATGGTGCCAAACGGTTGCAAATGCTGTTGTGAAAGGTTTGGCGGACGAAACAGAAAGCTTTTTATCACAGTGCAAGAAATCAGCCCTCCACAACTTAACCGGCGGAAAAAGATGGGTGGAATAGGTCTAGACCGGTTGGAACCGGTTGAAGCCGGTCTAGATCAGTTGAAACCAGTTGATGCCGCTTTGAACCGATCTAGACCGGTTGGAACCGTTCCAGACAGGTTTGAACTAGTTGAAGCCAGTTTCAGCCGGTCTAGACTGGTTGGAAGCGGTCTAGACCGGTTGGAACCGGTTGAAGCCGGTTTGAACCGGTCCAAGCTGGTTGGAACTGGTCCGGAACGGTTGGAACCAGTCCACACCAGTTGCATCCGGTTGAAGCCGGTTGGAACTGGTCCACGCTGGTTGGAACTGTCTAGACTGGTTGGAACCGGCTGAAGCCGTTTTCAGCCTGTCTAGACCGGATGGAATCGGTCCAGACCGATTTTAACTGGTTGAAGCCGGTTTCATCCGGACTAGACCAGTTTGAACCGGTCTAAACTGGTTGGAACTGTCTAGACCAATTGGAACCTCTTCAGACCGGTTGGAACCGGTTGCTGCTGGTCTGAACCGGTCTAGACTGGTTCGAACCGGTCCAAGCTGGTTCGAACTGGTCTAGACCGGTTGAAACCGTTTCAGACCAGTTAGAACCGGTTGAAGCCAGTTTGAACTAGTCTAGACTGGTTGGAACCTGTTGAAGCCGGTTTCAGCTGGTCTAGATCAGTTGGAAAAGGTCTAGACTGGTTGGAACCGTTCTAGACAACTTGGAACCGGTTCAGACTGGTTGGAACCGGTTGAAGCCGGTTTGAACCGGTCCAAGCTGATAGGAACTGGTCCGGACCGGTTGGAACCGGTCTAGACTGGTTGAAACTGGTTTCAGCCGGTTTCAGCTTGTCTAGACCGTTTCAGCTTGTCCAGACCGGTTTCAACCAGTTTAGACCGGTTTGAACCAGTTGAATCCGGTTGGAACCGGTCTAGACCGGTTGGAACCGGTTGAAGCTGGTTTGAACTGTTCCAAGCTGGGTGGAACAGGTCTAGACTGGACCGGTTTGAACCAGTTGAATCCGGTTGGAACCTGTTGAAGCAGGTTTGAACTGGTCCAAGCTGGGTAGAACTGGTCTAGACCGGTTGGACCCGGTTCAGACCGGTTTGAACCGGTTCACACCAGTTTGAATCGGTCTAGACCGGTTGGATCCGGTCCAGACCGGTTTGAACCAGTTGAATCCGGTTGGAACCGGTCTAGAGCGGTTGGAACCGGTTGAAGCCGGTTTGAACTGGTCCAAGCTGGGTGGAACAGGTCTAGACGGGTTGGAACCGATTCACGCCAATTTGAATCGGTCCAGACCGGTTTGAACTGGTTGAAGCTGGTTTCAGCCGGTCTAGAGTGGTTGGAACCGGTAAAAGCTGGTTTGAACTGGTCTAGACCGGTTGGAACCGGATCAGCCCGTTTGGAACTGGTTGAAGCTGGTTTCAGCTGGTCTGTGTCAATTGGAACAGGTCTAGACTGGTTGGAATCCTTCTCGATAGGTTGGAACCAGTTCAGACCGATTTTAACTGGTTGAAGCTGGTTTCATCCGGACTAGACCAGTTGGAACCGGTCCAGACCGGTTTCAACCAGTTGAGACCGGTTTGAACCAGTTGAATCCGGTTGGAACCGGTCTAGACCGGTTGGAACCGGATGAAGCCGGTTTGAACTGGTCCAAGCTGGGTCTAACAGGTCTAGATCTGTTGGAACCGGTTCACGCCAGTTTCAATCGGGCTAGACCGGTTTGAACCAGTTGAATCCGATTGGAACCGGTCTAGACCAGTTGGAACCGGTTGAAGCCGGTTTGAACCGGTCCAAGCTGGGTGGAACAGGTCTAGACCGGTTGGAACTGGTTGGAACCTGTTGAACCAGGTTTAAACCGGTGCAGACTGGTTGGAACCGGTTGAAGCCAGTTTCAGCCGATCTAGACTAGTTGGAACCAGTCCAGACCGGTTTGAACCGGTTTCAGCCGGTTTGAACCTGTCCAAGCTGGTTGGAACCAGTCTAGACTGGTTGGAACTGGTCCGCACCGGTTTAAACCTGTTGAAGCCGTTTTCAGCCTGTCTAAACCGGTTGGAATCGGTCCAGACTGATTTTAACTGGTTGAAGCCGGTTTCATCCAGACTAGAGCAGCTGGAACTGGTCCAAGCTGGTTGGAACTGGTATAGACCAGTTGGAACCTTTTCAGACCGGTTGGAACCAGTTGACGCCGGTTTAAACTGGTCTAGACTGGTTGGAACCGGTCGAGAATGGTTTAAACTGTTTGAAGCTTGTATCAGATGGTCTAGGCTGGTTGGAACCGGTTCAAGTTGGTTCGAACTGGTCTAGGCTGGTTGGAACCTGTTCAGACTGGTTGGAACAGGTTGAAGCCAGTTTGAACTGGTCTAGACCGGTTGGAACCGGTTAAAGCCGGTTTCAGCCGGTCTGTATCAGTTGGAACAGGTCTAGACTTGTTGGAATTTTTATCAAAAAAATCCCTCAGCCTCGAGGTCACAGTTTCAGAAAAAAATCAGACTTATGGCAATTCACTCAAAAATGGTGCCAAACGGTTGCAAACGCTTCCCTGAAAGGTTTGGCGGACGAAGCAGAAGGTTTTTTATCACAGGACAAAAAATCAGCCCACGACAACTTAACCGGAGGAAAAACATTTATTTGAAAAAATCCCTAATCTCCGGGGTCACAATTTCAGTAAAAATCTGACTTTTGGCAATTCACTCAAAAATGGTGCCAAACGGTTGCAAAAGCTCCCCTGAAAGGTTTGGCGGTCGAAACAGAAAGCTTTTAATCACAGTGCAAGAAATCAGCCCTCCACAACTTAACCGGCGGAAAAAGATTTGAAGCGGTCTAAGCTGGGTGGAATAGGTCTAGACCGGTTGGAACCAGTTCAGACCTCTTGGAACCGGTTGAAGGCAGTTTGAACCGGTCTAGACCGGTTGGAACTGGTTGAAGCCGGTCTAGATCAGTTGAAACCAGTTGATGCCGCTTTGAACCGGTCTAGACCGGTTGGAACCGTTCCAGACAGGTTTGAACTAGTTGAAGCCAGTTTCAGCCGGTCTAGACTGGTTGGAACCGGTCTAGACCGGTTGGAACCGGTTGAAGCCGGTTTGAACCCGTCCAAGCTGGTTGGAACTGGTCCGGACTGGTTGGAACCAGTCCACACCAGTTGCATCTGGTTGAAGCTGGTTGGAACTCGTCCACGCTGGTTGGATCCGTCTAGACTCGTTGGAACCGGCTGAAGCCTTTTTCAGCCTGTCTAGACCGGTTGGAATCGGTCCAGACCGATTTTAACTGGTTGAAGCCGGTTTCATCCGGACTAGACCAGTTTGAACCGGTCTAAACTGGTTGGAACTGGTCTAGACCAGTTGGAACCTCTTCAGACCGGTTGGAACCAGTTGATGCTGGTCTGAACCGGTCCAAGCTGGTTCAAACTGGTCTAGACGGGTTGAAACTGTTTCAGACCAGTTGGAACCGGTTGAAGCCAGTTTGAACTAGTCTAGACTGGTTGGAACCTGTTGAAGCCGGTTTCAGCTGGTCTAGATCAGTTGGAACAGGTCTGGACTGGTTGGAACCGTTCTAGACAAGTTGGAACCGGTTCAGACTGGTTGGAACCGGTTGAAGCTGGTTTGAACCGGTCCAAGCTGATAGGAACTGGTCCGGACCTGTTGGAACCGGTCTAGACTGGTTGGAACTGGTTTCAGCCGGTTTCAGCTTGTCTAGACCGTTTCAGCTTGTCCAGACTGGTTTCAACCAGTTTAGACCGGTTTGAACCAGTTGAATCCGGTTGGAACCGGTCTAGACCGGTTGGAACCGGTTGAAGCCGGTTTGAACTGTTCCAAGCTGGGTGGAACAGGTCTAGACCGGACCGGTTTGAACCAGTTGAATCTGGTTGGAACCGGTCTAGACCGGTTGGAACCGGTTGAAGCCGGTTTGAACCGGTCCAAGCTGATAGGAACTGGTCCGGACCTGTTGGAACCGGTCTAGACTGGTTGGAACTGGTTTCAGCCGGTTTCAGCTTGTCTAGACCGTTTCAGCTTGTCCAGACCTGTTTCAACCAGTTTAGACCGGTTTGAAGCAGTTGAATCTGGTTGGAACCGGTCTAGACCGGTTGGAACCGGTTGAAGCCGGTTTGAACTGTTCCAAGCTGGGTGGAACAGGTCTGGACCGGACCGGTTTGAACCAGTTGAATCCGGTTGGAACCGGTCTAGACCGGTTGGAACCGGTTGAAGCTGGTTTGAACCGGTCCAAGCTGATAGGAACTGGTCCGGACCTGTTGGAACCGGTCTAGACTGGTTGGAACTGGTTTCAGCCGGTTTCAGCTTGTCTAGACCGTTTCAGCTTGTCCAGACCGGTTTCAACCAGTTTAGACCAGTTTGAACCAGTTGAATCCGGTTGGAACCGGTCTAGACCGGTTGGAACCGGTTGAAGCCGGTTTGAACTGTTCCAAGCTGGGTGGAACAGGTCTAGACCGGACCGGTTTGAACCAGTTGAATCCGGTTGGAACCGGTCTAGACCGGTTGGAAGCGGTTGAAGTCGGTTTGAACCGGTCCAAGCTGGGTGGAACAGGTCTAGACCGGTTGGAACCGGTTGGAACAGGTTGAACCTGGTTTAAACCGGTGCAGACTGGTTGGAACCGGTTGAAGCCAGTTTCAGCCGGTGTACACTAGTTGGAACCGGTCCAGACCGGTTTGAACCGGTTGAAGCCAATTTGAACCTGTCCAAGCTGGTTGGAACCAGTCTAGACTGGTTGGAACTGGTCCAGACCGGTTTAAACCGGTTGAAGCCGTTTTCAGCCTGTCTAGACCGGTTGGAACCGGTCCAGACCGGTTTGAACCGGTTTAAGCCAGTTTGAACCTGTCCAGGCTGGTTGGAACCAGTCTAGTCTGGTTGGAACCGGTCCAAGTTGGTTCGAACTGGTCCCGACCAGTTGGAACCAGTAAAGACTGGTTGGAACCGGTTGAAGCCAGTTTGAACTGGTCTAGACGGGTTGGAACCGGTTGGAGCCGTTTTCAGCCTGTCTAGACTGGTTGGGATCGGTCCCGACCAATTTTAACTGGTTGAAGCCAGTTTCATCCGGACTAGACCAGTTGGAACCGGTCCAAGCTGGTTGGAACTGGTCTAGAACAGTTGGAAACGGTCCAGACCGGTTTGAACCAGTTCAGACCTGTTTGAACCAGTTGAATCCGGTTGGAACCGGGCTAGACCGGTTGGAACCGAATGAAGCCGGTTTGAACTCGTCCAAGATGGTTGGAACAGGTCTAGACGGGTTGGAACCAGTTCACGCCAATTTGAATCGGTCCAGACCGGTTTGAACTGGTTGAAGCTGGTTTCAGCCGGTCTAGAGTGCTTGGAACCGGTAAAAGCTGGTTTGAACTGG